TGGTGTGGCAGCTTGGGAGAAGTGGGGAATCTGTTTACCAGAAGGATTTCTTTAGACACCACTGCTTGGAAGAGATAAATGGTATCTCTGAGCAAACAGAAAATTTTAATTTTGGAAAAAAATCTGTGCTGACCGACCTGTAGCCACCATTTTATCTCACTGGGGCATCTTCTGATCTCCCCCCACCTTAATAGAAAGAACCAAATATTTATTTATTGCTGCTTTAAAATGAAACACATCCCACCCTAATGGCATTTATTTTCCTCCGCTGATTTTGACAGCTAAGGGAGATAAGAACATCTACCTTCTACTCTTTCAGTTTCCACCACACTTTTCCTCAGGCTGATGTCTATATGAAAATAACAACCACATCTCCTACAATAAATCACAAAATTACATTATCGTTGAGGTTGGAAGAGACCTCTGGAGATCTCATCCAACACCCTTTTTCAAAGCACAGACAGGTAGAGAAAGCTGTTGAGGTGTCCAGCTGGGTTTTGAGTATCTCCAAGGATGGAGACTCTACAACAATCTGACCAACCTGTTCCAGTGTTTGACCATCCTCACAGTGAAAACAATTGTTTTTTTATGTTTAAATTAAATGGTATTTCCTGTATAAATAAATAAAAATATAATCCAATAAAGTAAAGGTCAGACAGCAACGGCCTCTAAAGTCCTTGGTTTTCACAGACTGCAAGAAATTTAAAAGACCCTTTAAAATAATTTAATATTTACTGCAGTGATAGTCTCCCGGCTTCAGGACAGACCTATAAGGTTTGTCCCAAAATGTTCTATTACTGATTTTACTTATATTGGGATTTTTCCACATTTGATATTATACAGCTGAAGTTAATTATGACTGTATTTCTAAAATAGCAATTAACAACAACAACTCAATGAAATGATATAGCCTTCAAGAAGGAGCACAGACCTGGGGCCCTGGAGACCGCTAGTCAGTATTCAGTTTAGATGATGCTTCCTGGTAATTATTGAGTGGTCATGTTGGCTGGAGTTAGTCTACCTTATCTTAGATGTCTACATCTCTCCTAATTGTTCCAAGATGCTTTTATATCAAGGAAGAAAGAGGCATCTCCAGAGCGTGAATTGTCCCACAGTAGAAGAGATGGCCAATGCAGGGTACAGGAATTGTCCTTTCTGCATGGACTATACAGCCTTGGATTACTAGCTCAGTCCTACACTTCTAAGTTTTAAATGTCTGAAATCTGAGGCAAAATCTAGCTATTATCTTCCTGTTGTTTGTTTTCAACATTTAAAGAAGTTCCTTGCTTTTCACAACTTTTATCTAAGACAATATGTTCCTTTATAAAAGTTGCTTATAAAAGTGTTGCTTATAAAATCTTAGGTCCCAGAACAAACCACTTTAGAGTAAGATAACTCCTAAGAGTTAGACTAGGATTGTGCTTGGGGAGACATATCTCAGACTTGAACAACATCCCATATTTTTGAATTCTCACTGTCCTCTCTGAAAGACCATTCCCACCTTTTAGTTATCCTGAACAGCAATTCAATATCAGATTATTTTCTCATAATTTAATCAGATGAAATATTTTATCCCCTTCTTTGGTGCTTTCGCTTTTGAAATATGAATAGCTACTGTGTTGGGTTTTTTTGCCATAGTGTTATTTCCAAATCTTGCAATCTTATCTCTCAAGCCACTTCACCAATTTTCTGTTTGATGTCCTGTTTCCTCCCCCTGCATGAAACTCATGGCAGAAAGTTAATGGAAAATACAGTTTCACTAGTCGTAATAACTCTTTGTCTGGTAGTTACTATGTCCAAGCAGAAGAACAGGATCACTTCTCCTGCAGGATAACAAAGGAAAGCTCCCAGTTTTCGTGTTGGTTTCCTAGTAGTAAGCAGTATAAGGCAGACTCCAGAAAAGCCAGCAGAAATTCTGCCACTGGCTGAAATGGGGCCAGTATTTAACTCAGAACATTCAGAAGCAACATTAGACACTGGCATGCCTGCAGGTTTAGGATCCCTTCACATGAGAAATAAATTTTATATATTCCTTAAGAAGAAGCAAATCTGAGAAACAACACATGGACCTCATCCTGGGACACGCTGAGCAAGATGCAAGTTGCCTAACACCTAAGAGGGATTTAGAGGTAATTTAGCACTAGTTAAAAATGCCATACTGATTGTCCTGAAGACGGATGTCTTCTGTACAGCCCAGGCAGTGGCGTATTGTTGGGAGGATGGGATTCATGCAGCAGTGTGGGAAAGTTCTGTGCTGAGCAAACTGAGATGAACTGTTATCCTAGCTCCACAGCACTGTACTGCCCTGACAGATTGGATGCTGCATTAAACCAAATCAATGTGAGAAAAATGATTTATTTAATCCTTAGGAAGTGTTCAGTTGTATTTATAACTAGCAAAATGATTTTGTCAATGAAGCGTTACGAAGTGCCGATTTGCCAAATTTAGATGAATTTCTACAATTATTAATTCAAAGAGATTAGGCTTGCAAGATATTAGGAAGAAAAGCTGTGTTATAGGTATAAACACTGCTAACAAGCTGATGATGATGGAAATACTACATGACAGACGCTTGATTTTAAATCACATAACACAAGTGTATTCCATATGAAAGGATTTGGTTTGTGCAGTATATATAAATTCAATAACTTGGCTGGCTCAGCTCCATTGATTCCTGAAGCTGTGTCACTGGCACCATCTATTTTCTGCACACATAACACAGCAGTGATGAGTGTGATTGAAGTATCTATACACAGACACAGTAACATGTGAGGAAGTGTCCTGGGCAAAAAATAGCTTTCACTGCAAATATGTCCTTTGCAAATAAGGATAGATCCTAAACTTAGTGGGGGTTTAAAGACAGATTGGTTTACATTAGGGTCAGAAGAGATTTCATGTTTATTTTTCTTTCTTCTTTCCTCCTTTTCTCTTTCTCCTTTTTTACCCTCACTTTTTTTCTACTTCTATGAGGGCAGGGTGAAAGATCTCACTAAAGGAATAAAAAAGAAAAGACAAAAGAACGGGAAAGTAAAGAAAGAAAATAAATACACAGTTGATAAAAACCTACTTAAAATAGTTAATTTATTAAATTCTAAGTTTTCTATAAACATTTTAAGTGAGCTAGAAAGATGTTTCCTTTAGAAATATATGGATCAGAAGTGGGTTTATTGGCAAATGACAAGCAGTAGACATAGATAGACTGAGATTTGTGGGTTATTTTCTGTTTCTGTTCAATGGTACTTATCACACAGACTCAGCAGTTTTGTCACTTTACACACAGTGGTGCTTAATGTAAACTTTAGAGAGCAGATCCTCTCTTACTTAGGTTTTTATAGCAACAGTCTCAATGGACCTCAGGTTGCAAGTATTGTTACAGTGCAAAGAGTGAAAAAAAATAATGGGAAGACTAAGGGATTTTAGTGTGTTCCCGCTAAAAAGTTCATGCCATACGTTTTACTGTACAAAAAATTACCAGAAGTGTTAAACTGGATCTTGAGTGTGATTCTGTCTGTCTCTGGCTTGTCTTTTCACCCTCCACACATTCACCTTCCTCTTATTTGCATAAGACCCAGCACTATTATCATAGTACCTCTCAAAGTTCTAGCAGTACTACCTAATCTCAGAAAACCCCAGAGGCATTTCACAAACTAAGGGCTTGGACTCTGAAGTGGGGCCTGAATCTTCAATCCTTTGTTAGAGCAATATTCAGAGAATTAAGTCCTTTCTTCATGCTCTGTTATGCCAGGCACGTATGACAACAGCAGGACTGTCATCGCAACTCCTCCGGGATTTGATCTCTTCCATACTTGGTTGCGAGTTGAAGAGCTGATGATTAAGTGACACAGTGAAGTTAGGGTGAATCTTACAGGCAAGATAATGTTCAGCCTACCACCGGTGATAGCTAACATCTTGGTAGACCACTGCATGGTCACTTCTTACTGGTGAGTCCCCATATGCTCTAGAGATGATCTCCTGACGTAGCAGTCTGAAGAGGAAGGAACATCCTAGCTGGATTATGGAGACCCCTGACAGCTCAAACCTGCCAGCTGTTGGCCATTCTAAATCCCTCTCAGACAGAAAGAGAGCCCTTTCGTCCTTCTAGAAGCCAGCAACGGGTTTACCTGGGAGCTTGACTTCAGTCTTACAAATAAGATATTGTAGAAGCAAGATGGAAGAGAGATCCGGGTTTTGTCTAGACAGCGCTCATCACAGGACTGATTCCTGCTCTTTTAGATCCTATGTAAATGTTGTATTTGGGCGAAAGTGATTTTCTGCCATGGCTAGCCCTCTTCCCTTTTACTTGCTGGAGCTGACATGAAGGTCTTGGTGTATAATCCAGGCACAGATCATGTGGTGAAGATGACGCAGTTTGTAAGCCTGAGCTCTCGTGGAGGAATGGAGAGTCCTTCACAGGCAATTCCCACACTGAGGGACAATGTCTCACGTTGTCTATTATTGAGACAATGCTTGAGGTACTATTCAAGACAGTAGTTGAGCTAATATTGGGGAAAGTCACAGTTCTTTTTCCTTCCTGATCAAAGGAAGGAAGAGTACTAATGATCAATCTGGAATGTAGCATTTACAAGGCAATAATTGCTGTCCAATATAGGAATTAGAAGAATTAAAGAGTAGAATTCTCTGCAAGGGAAACTGAATAATCTCCAGTTCCAATCCCTTCCTAACTACTGTATTGATTATGCCTAAATCTTTCCCAGAAGCTGTAAAACCTTGTAATAAATAAGATATCTTCTCCCTTAGGCAATTTCCTGCACCCTTTCTCTCTCTTAGGAGATCTAACTAAACATAGCAGACCTTCTCTTTCAATGGAAGAATACTGCAACAGAGCCTACCAACAGGCCCTGGTAGACCCTGAAGTTCTCCAGAACCACGTTTGTTTTATTTTAGGTGAGAACTACATGTCAGTTGATTCTGGACCTGGAAGGTGAAACCTAGTTCTGCTCTATCAGCTCATGGGGATCCACTTGTTCTTCTCTTTGTAGATTGACAGCATGCAGGCTCTGCTTCACTGCCCCAACGTGCTGGTGTGTGTCGGCCGGGAGCCATTTAAACCTATATCGATGGAGAATTTGAGGAAACACTCGGTGGAGAAGCTGCCTGACCTGGCTCCCCATTCCAACGGCAACAATGTCAATGAAAACAATGAAAGTAAGAAAAACTCTGGGGCATACTGCACAGTCATCTCCAGGCCTGTGTCCCACAACATGGCAATTACAAGAATCTATTGTACTGCCCCAATGTGCATATTTCACATGGAAAATGTACTTCCCTCTCTCTGCCTCCCAGGCCTTTCCATCCTCCCCTTCTTTTTCTCTGATTTCCTTCTAGGATTTCCTCCCTACACCCTCTAGTCTTTCTTTTACATGCTCCCCATGTCTAGCTGACTTCCCTTCCTCTTTCATATCTCTGTGTCTCCTTTTCCTTCCAGAACTCCCTCCTTTCCTGTGTCTGCCCCGATACTCCCCAAACCCTTGAGATTTCCCACGAATCCTCTATTCCCTTGTCTGTCTGTCATATAATGACTGCATTTCTGCATTTGCCTGCACCAGAACCAGAGGACACCCTGGTTTTGTCAGCAGGAGACTCAGTTTCTCAGGCTCTGTTATGCTTTCTTTAAATGACTTATAACTTCTCAGGGTGTAAAGGGCATTTCAAACTCTGGACAACTACCAGCTACCGGCAGTGTAGCCCTTTGGAAACAAAGCATGTTTTTTATGGAAAGGTTATGTTCAGGAAGGATTATGTTATGGGTTATTTAGGATGATATTTTTTCGACACTTCATCATGAGTTATCTTTGGTCACAGGTAATTAAGCTAGCCACCCTTGGTAGCCTATGGGGAGAAACTTCCCATTTCCAAAGGGCAATTCATCACACATATATCAGGTATTGCTTTTAGGATGGAATAAAGTGTTCTCTGGAGGTACCTGTTTTTCTTCATTGTCAATACCAGGAGCCAGAAAAGATTCACTTGTGTGTTGAAAGCTAGTTGTAGAAACTTAAGGACAGAGGCATCCTACACTCACTGCGTACAATGTAAAAATTTGGGGAAAGCAGTGGGAATAAACTGAAGGTTAGTCCATCAAGAGACTGAGCAAATATATCAGTTCAGATCTGTAAGGATGGTTAGATAGAAGCTATTTCATACGTTATTGATCTTGGTTAGTGTGCTCCCTGTTCAACACTTCCTTCTGAAAATGCTCTCCGTTCAGCTGCATATCTATATGACTACAGAGGTATGTAGTTTTCTAGGTATATAAAAGTAAATTTTGAACAAACACATCTATTAGAAACAAGATAGATGCATATCTTGCAAAGCAGCATGATAGCAATGTACTCTTCTTGAAATGAAGGGTCCAGGACCTCAATATATCTATGCAGACCACTGCGTTGGGCCATAGAGATGTGCTTTGGATTACAAGTCTTAAAATTCCCTATCACTGATTTCCTCTATGACTAACACTATTTCTCTTTGTAGCTATCATCAGCTTACAACTCCTTTTACATTTGTCCTTCATGTTTTAATAAGCATTATAATTGTTGATAGTGGCACATCCCTTCAGGTACTGAGTGCTGCTCTGGTTTACATGGCCACACGTGTGTGTCCTGGCACATGAGTGGAGAAGTGGATGACGCACAATAAACGTGTGACACTTGACCTCTAACTAAGGAAGAGGGTTGTTTCTCCATGTAATTTTCCCTGACTGAATAAGAAGGATGAAAACTTGTGCAGTTAAATAAAGGGGTATTTACAATGTGATAAAATACAGAAACTTTGAGACTAAATTGCATAGTGTATATATTTTTATTTTCCTGCCATGCACATAATACAACAAAAGAAGTGTTTGTGTTTCAATTTAGATTAAAAAAAAAAATAAAGTTAAGGTATAGATGATTTTAATATAGACTGTTCATTCAAAACTTAACATTTGTGACCATCACTTAGTCAAAGCCAAATTTTCAAATTATGTAAGCTGACATAGCCTTAACTTTAATGGAATAATATCAGTATTGAGTAGTTTGAGGTTTTGATCTATGTGTTTTGTGTCATCTTTATATACATAAGTTAACATTTTTCTCCATCTTTCTTTAATTATTTCAAACTCCAGTGAGCTTTGGGTTGAAAGCCAAGAAAAGTGTTATCCATCCTCGGTCAGCATCAAGCAATAGGTCAATGAGATTTTCTTTATCATCAGAAAAGTCATATCCTAATGGTCTCATTACCTCACCAGATAATGGTGCACCTTTCTCAAACAGTTTCTCACATCCGAAACCTGGAGACCTCGTCCATTCCTTGGTCAGTGACGACATAGAAAAACGGGTACATGTGAACAAGGATGGTAGCCTGTCTGTTGAGATGAAAGTCCGCTTCCGCTTGTTAAATGATGAGACTTTGCAGTGGTCCACCCAGATCAAAAAGTCCAATCTGATGAACCAGATGCCTTGTGAAGAGTCAGGTGTAGAGGAGGACAGTGGAGTAAACCCCATACAGAAAATGAACCCAGAAGCCAGCTCAGAGGCAGATGATTCATTATATCCATGTGATATTGATTCTTACATGTCAAAATTTGAGGAATCAGAATGTGATGAGTTTCACTGTCATAGCTGCGGAAAGAAACACCAGGATTATGACATTTGGAAAAACCCCATGCACACATCCCAGAGGGAAGAGCCCAGTGTACGGAGTACCTGGCACACACGGTCATCATGCTCCAGCACGTCTTCCCGGAGGAGAGTAGTCCACAAAAAAATGGCTTCTGTGGATAGTCTCCAGACCACATCCAGTGAGGAATACTCTGAGCACATTGTGCAAGAGTCATCCTACTCAGAGACTATACAGAACAGAGTGTCATATAGATCCATTAAAAAGTGTACGTGTCGAAGTGATTTGTCTACAGGTGCTTCCAATGGAGACGACCAGCAAGAATACACTCGGACAAGCACAAGCAATAGTCGGAGACCTTCATCCTTTGGTTTAATGTCACATTCAAGCTGTGAAAACAACGTGGATACTCGAGGTGGCCCTGAAGACCACGAGGCCAGCAAAACCAATTCGCAAAATGAAGATGAAAATTGTTTTGAAGTTTCCTCTGTGAAGTGCTTAAAGGATGATATAGAAGAGATTGAAAGCAACAGAGTTGCGAGTGTCATGTCAAGGTCATCTCTGCATTCCAGACAGAGCAAGAAGAATGTTTGTAAGGAAACAAGTAACGTGGGTAGGAGCATGTCCTCCTCAAGCCTTCAGAAGGCAAATCAAGAAGATAACACTAGGTGCTCCACTACTGCCAACAGTTTGCACAGCAAGTCTAGTAACTGGAACACACCAAGAGCAAAGAGTGAACGGGATGACCACTCTGAAGGCAATGTGGTGGTCTCCTCCTTCTCCAATGACTCCTGCCCTAAGAAAGAGACTGAAGAAGTTGAAGCAGAACAAGAAAAAAATGAAATCAATGAAGTCAGCTCTGTGTCAACAAAAACAAAGCCCAGCCAATCAATTAGAGATGAGAGCATTGAAGGTGAAAGATGTTCTACACAAGAAATCATCTATTCCAGAGCTAGTGACAGGAACAGCAAGAGAAGTGACAGTGATGAGGTCATTCAGTGCAATGCCTCTTGCTCTTCCAGAGGATCCAAAAAGAGCAAGCACAGCCTTATTCATTTGGATGCACAATCCGAAATGTCTGTGTCATCACTTGAATCCACTCCAAATAAAAAGAATTCCTTGCAGAGAGATGATCTGAGATTGTGCAACAAAGTATCTAATTACTCCAAAAGCTCATGTGAAATCAAGAAAAAATCAAGCGGAGACCCCGTATCTCATAACTCAGGATCTTTTCACTCGAACATTTCATCTACTAATGAAACAGAGGCAGTTGCAGGTTTTACTGATGAGAAAAGCTTGAAAAGTGCCACCAATGGCTACAGTGAATCTTCAAAAGGCTCAAAGAAGAGAAGCCATAGAGAAGAAAATAGCAAGCCATCATCCATCTGCTCAAGTATTTCAAACCTTAATGGAAAAGTCGGAGAGGTTCATTCCAAGATTAATTCAGAGGCCCCTTCTTCAAGACAAGGAAGTGTCAGTGAGAGTATATGTTCAAAAGGTGACCACTCAACAGAGACTCAGATTAGGAACGGAAATCCTGCAAGTGTCTCTTCAAGAGACTCTTCAAAGTCAGAAGTAAAAGATAAATGTTTGTTGACACACATATCCCAGGAAATTCATGATAGGTGTTCACAATCAAACATATCTCAATCTTCAAAATCAAGGCAGATAAAAGCTAGAAATAATCATACGAAGATGTCAAACTCCAGTCAAGCATCACTGTCTGAGACTTTGTCAGTACATAGTATGCATTGCCCTGCCCCACCAAAAGAGAAGCCAAAGAGCAAAAAGATACGCTCAACAATGTTGAAGAATTCCTCCATTAGCAACATAGGTACTGAGTCGGTGCTGACCATGGGAAAAGAGCAGAAAGAAATTATACATTCCTCCCCAGCAACTTCCTATGGGTCTAAATCAGCTGCAACTGAAATAAATGATCAGAAGAATAAAGAAATCGATGATTCTTGCAACAGAAAAGTGAATGAACAGTTAGAAGGCACCGGCATGCAGGAGGAAGGGAATGATTTAATTCCATCTGTTCTACCAAACACAACTCCAGAAGAAGTTGTGCAAGAATGGCTAAGTAAAATCCCTTCAGAAGTATTGCTTATGAAATATGAAATGGAGAATGATATAGAAGAGGAATGTATAAAGGCAACCACTGAGGTATCATACTGTACAAATGCTGAGGAAATCTCAGAGGATGAAAAAGTTGAGAAAAAGAATGTGAAGGAGGCTAAGAATGAGTCAAAGTTTGAAGTAGGAGAAGAGACAGCAGAAGGCAGTGATATTAATGAAAAGCCTGAAGAATGCGTGAATCAGGAACAAATCTCTGAGGTTGTGTCCAAAGCTGCCAAAGCTGACCAGGCAGAATGCAGCCAGTCAGTTACATCCAGCCAAAATAACAGCAGAGACCTGCCAACCTCTGTCCAGACTTCTGTCCAGATCATGAAGGCCTTGCTCAGTTCAAAACATGAAACAAAATTTGACCGATCAAACAGTTTGCCTGAAGTGTCCCCCACTATGGGGAGAAAACTGAGTAACTCTGCCAACATTTTGATTACTTGTCTTGCTGGTATCCAACTCCTTGATGAAGACTCTGGAGATCCATCGGGTAAATCAAAACATTTGAGTAAACCAAAGTATATGAAGCTACTAAATATTTTTCAAGACCTGTGGTTTGGATGCACAGCTGAAAAAAGTGGTCCAAATTCAGGACAAGAGGCGAGTGAGCAGGCAAAAACAGCCTCTGGCTTTAAAGTCCCCAAATCTGTAGATTATGGCTTCACTCCCATGTCATCCTCTGGGGTTGATGTTAGCAGTGGTTCTGGTGGCTCGGGAGAAGAAAGTACAGCTTGTGCCAGAGACTGCACTTTAATGGCACAGGAACTTACTGAATTCAAATCATCTGGACAAGTGGAAAATGTAGAGACTGTGACTGAAATGACTGAGGCTGAGGAGCAAAGTAAAAAGAAAGGGAAGTCATCCCGACCTTTGAGAGCCTGCTCAAAATCAAAAGGTGAGAAAAAAACACAGTCTACTAGAGAGGACTCTCTAAATCATGAGGCAGAAGAGAATAAGGACGCTGAGTGCAGTAACTGTGAAAATGGTCAGAATGAAGGGGAAACAAACGAAAACAACGAAAACAGCAAACTAACTGAAAATAGAGAACAAGAAGAAATTGAAGCCATGAATGAAGAACTCCCAGAAGAAAATCTTGAAGGGGAAGCTGGTCAGTTAACCACTACTGATGATGCAAACATCAATAATGCTGATCGTGGGACAGAACTGAAAGCTGATTTGGAAGAGCAGCTTGAAAAAGAGTCTCCAAATGACCCAGAGCCAAAAGCTGATGCAGCCACCTGTGTGGGCACATCCCTTGTCCAGCAAAACTCAACAGATCCAGACCCAGTCTGGGTCCTGAGACTGCTCAAGAAAATCGAGAAGGAGTTCATGGCTCACTATGTGAATGCCATGAATGAGTTCAAAGTCAGGTGGAACCTGCAGAACAACCAGCAGATGGATGAAATGATACTGGAGCTAAAGGAGGAAGTGAGTAAAAGGATACAAAAAAGCATAGAGAAGGAACTGAGGAAGATTAAAACCATGACAAGGAAGAAGACACCAAGGCCTCCGGATGAACCACTCAAGCGTGAGCCAACACTTCAAACTGAGCAGAGGAGACAGCGATTGCAAACTATGCATAAAAGATCACTCTTTAGTGACAAGAGTGGAAGCCATACTAGGCTAGAGGACACATTAGACTTATCATTTGATGTAGATGAAGATATAGTATTTAGTGCAGCTTTTGAGGCCAGTATTGATGCACAAACAAGTGAGGACGAATACTGCCCATGTGACTCTTGTGTGAGGAAAAAAAGAGCTTCAAAGCCCACAAGAAACCCAGTGGTGTCCAACAACGCCCCAGTCATGAAAGCATTTGATTTACAGCAAATCCTGAAGTTTCAGAAAAATAATGAGGAAGCCTGTGTCTCTGAAGCAGTCCAGGACATCAGAAAAATTCCCAGAAGTTCCATGGTGGAAGCTGCAGAAAACGGCAATCCAAATGAGGATGACGGTGAACTCCAGACAAGTGAAATGAAAGTGGATGACAATGAAGAAAATGAGCCAGAATTAAATGAAGTGGGCAGCTCAACATTGAATGGAGATGGAGAAGGACCTGAAATATCAGAAAGTCAAAACTGTGAAATGGAGGATGAGGTTAAAGATGAAGAAACCAAAGAAGAAGGAAAGGAAGAAGGAGAAGAAGTAGGGGAAGAAGCAAAAGAGAGAGAAGAAGAGGAAGCAAAAGAGGAGGAGGAAGAGAAAGAGGAAGAAGAAATAATGAAGGCAGAAGAGCAGGAAACAAAAGAGGAGGGACAAACAAAAGAGAAAGAAGATAAAGAAGAAGATGAAGAGGAAGTAGCAGAGAAAACAAAGGAAGAAGAGGAAACAAATGAGGATGAAGAGAAGGAGGAGAAGGAAGAGGGAATGAAGGAGGATGAGGAAGAAAGAAAAGAGGAGGAGGAGGAGGGAGAAACAAAAGAGAAAGAGGAGGAAGTGAATGAGAAGGAAGAAGAAACAAAAGAGGAAGGGGAAGACATGAAAGAGGAGGTGGAAGTAAAAGAGGAGGAACAGGAAGTGAATGAGGAAGAGGAAGGAACAAAAGAGGAGGAGGACGAATTGAAGGAGGAGGAAGAAATAAAAGAAGAGGAGGATGAATTGGAGGAGGAGGATGAAGAAACAAAAGAAGAAGTGGAAGACATAAAAGAGGAGGCAGAAGGAACAAAAAATGAGGAGGAAGTCATGAAAGAGGAGGAAAAAACAGAAGAAGAGGAGAAAGTGCAAGAAGAGGAAGAAGTAACAAAGGAGGATGAGGAAGCAGAAGAAGATGAGGAAGAAACAAAACAAGAGGAGCGGGAAGTGGAAGAAGAGGAAGAATGCCCAAAAGAGGAGGAAGAAACAGAGAAAGAAAAAGAGGGAGTAGAAGAGGATGAAGAAACAAAGGAAGAGGAGGAGGAAGCAAACAGGGAAGAGGAAGAACAAGAAGTGGAAACCCAAAATGCAGAGCAAGAGGTTGAAAAGAAGTCCAAAGCTGAAGATGAAGCTGAAAATGAAGCTGAAGAAGCAAAGGAGCCAGAGGATGAGGACATTGGGTTTGACGATGAGAAAGAAACATCTGAATGCAGAGGGGATGCTGATGGGTCTCGAACTGACAACAACCCTGAAGGAGATGACGCTGAAGGAAGTGAAAAAGCTGAGCAGGATGAAGCTGAAGCAGTGCAAGATGCAAATCCAGATCCAGAAGATGAGGCGTGTTCAGCTGAGGAGGAAAACAACAGTAAAGGAGATGACAGATGTGATGAGAAACCTATCAGTGATGACCCTGATAAGGCACATGAAAAACATGAAGACAAAGGCAACAGCGAGGATTCTGAGACAGACTCAGAGGCCAAAGGCAAAAGACCCATCAAAATGCTAGAGACTCCGAACAAAGATGATGCCTTTTCTTGTTATTCTTCTGTAGGCAACTTGTCACAGCAATCCCAGAAGGGGTCTGAAGATGAAGGTGAAGGGGAATGTAAAGACGACAACCTCATCAGCAACCATTCCAATGGAGAGGTTAAAAGTAATGAGAGCAGCAAACCCTCAGTGATGTATCCTGACAGTGAGGAGGAAGAAGAGGATAAAGCATCTTCATGTACTGACCCCCTAGGAAATGAGGACCAGGCAGATGCTGAAGGTGCAGATCCAAAGGAGGTTGAACATACTGATGAAGTTCAGGCTTCTAAAAAGAAAGAAGCCTCTGATGAGATTGACCAGGAAGACCTGGACTTCTAGAACTGCTTATTAAAAACTGCTTTTTAACTTCTTCCTTTCTTTCTTTTTTTAAAGTATATTTTCATTATAAATTACAGTATCTCCAGTGAGTTGAGCCATCATAACTGGCTTTTCTTCTGAGTTAAGTGCGGTAAACTTGATCTTGAATCTTGTAACGTTGCAATTACTTGCCCTCATTTCTAGAGGGCTAGTAAACCCCTTAAGAACTGGTGGTTTCATTAGAAAAGTGGTTTGGGGAAAGGGAAGGCTGTTTTGTTTGTGATACCTTCTTGTTCCCGCTCTTTAAGCCATGCTGTTTGCTGCTTGAGTCATCTGTGGCTCTGCTGGGCATCATCTCTAGTGAATTCAGGATGCCTTTCATCTGTTGCATGCCATTTTCCTGGAAAGATTGCCAATCCACAGAAACATGACAAAATCTGGATTCATTGCCAAAGTCTAGTCACAGCCCACAGCGATGTACATTCATTTCCCCCATACCTACCCTACCCTACCCTACCCTACCCTACCCTACCCTACCCTACCCTACCCTACCCTACCCTACCCTACCCTACCCTACCCTACCCTACCCTACCCTACCCTACCCTACCCTTCCCTACCTTCTCTGTACCCAGTAAAAGGGTCTGGGATATCAAAGTCTTTCACCACTTTCCTTATTTTTTATAGTAGAGGTTGAGCTCATTCCTCACTTCACTGTAAATCCTCAGCACCAACAAAGGTCATTCCAGGAGTCTCTTCTCTTCCAGACCACCCATATCTTTGTAATGTGCTCATCACTGTAGTATGTAATCATGTAGTTGTAGATAAAAACGTGAATTAATTCACCTGTCAGGTATCTGAGAAGTGGTGGAGTGCAATATTGACCAAATCAGAAATGAGTCAAGTTCAATTCCTTGTGATTACCTTTACTATGCCAATGATGGTATCCAAGCACTTTACAATCATGTGGGATCCCTCAGAAAATTTTGTACGACGCCCTATTCTGAAGCTAACAGGATTTGCAATTGCTCAGTGCCTCATCCTTGCAGACAACCAGTAAAATTTAAACTAATTTTACCTTTAACATGGAAAAAGTTTAGGCATTTTTGCTGCAGCAGACAGCTGGAAGAGTCTCAAGCATTTACTGGAGAGGTTGGACTTGACAAACCATGATAGAACTGCAAACTTCATTTAACAGCTGGTTTCTACCAGATTATATATATATATATATATATATATATTTTTTTTTTCCTTGGGGCAATATATACATTTCTGAATAAATGCCTAACTAACGCTAGGAGAAGTTTGACCATACCTCAGCTGCATACATGTGTATACCTCTTTGGGAAACAGTCCATTTTATCAATAACTTGCAGGGACAATAAAACAGCAAAAAACTAAGAGAGTGAAAACAAAATGCCTTAAATTGTATGGTGAAAAAATATGTATGTAGTATTGTGTCAGGTTTGTGAAAGTGCATGTAGACATGTTGAAATAAGCAATATTCAAAATCAAATAATTAATATTGTTATCATTTTAAGAATTAGTTTCTTAAACTCATAGCCAACCAAATGATTTCCAGAGATAAGATTCATTTCACTTCAGTTAAGAACTGAGTTCAGTTCCAGAGGTGCATACTTAATTTTAGGTGTCTGAGAAATAAGAGCCTATGTGGAGTAGTCAGTGGAGAGCTAGATCTCAGCTGAGCTGTCCTCACAAAGGCTTATAGTGCATACTGACATCCTCCAGGGAATCCAAGACACCTACACTACCATCAAGACAGAGAAGTTAAGACCTGGACCTTCCTAAAAATAAAGGCAATCGTATCTGTTATCCTCATATGGATGTCTTGGACTTCCTAGGACATCTCACGTGGAACTACATCTCTAGATGTAACTCAGCTGGACCCTGACTGTCTCAAAGTTTGGTAATTTGTCTCATCTGGTAGCCTCCGTTCCATATTTTTTCTGTAGAGATTTCCATATCTAAGATTACTAGCTTTCAGACAGACTAGAGTCTATGTAGTTGTTTAAAGGTGTTTCGTGCCAGCTGAAATGGCATAGGGAATCCAATATTACACCTCAGTGTTAGCCTAAGGGGGTGCAGATCTCCTGTAGGTCCAGAGTCATATCACAAGCTCCTTGGAAATGTCAGGGATGCTCCAGGGCATCTTAAACTGCATTAGTCATAGATGTAAAAAAACCTGAATCCACCCCTAAGATCGTGTGAACAAATCCTACCTCAAAAAAAAAGAAGTACAAGGTTAAAACTAAATGTTAAAATTCTAGTTAGCTTTGAAATACAGGTGTCACTGTTTAACTCCAGCCGGCAACTCACTCACTCTCCCCCGGTGGGATGGTGGCGAGAATCTAAAGAGTAAAAGTGAGAAAACTCATTGAGATAAAGGCGGTTTAATAGGTAAAGCAAAAGCCACACACACAAGCAAAGGAAAACAAGGGGTTCATTCCCCACTCCCATGGTCAGGCAATGGTTCAACCATCTCCAGGAAAACCAGGCTCCATCACACGTAACAATGACTTGGGAAGACAAACATCTTCACTCCAAACGTCCCCCCCTTCCTCCTCCTTCACCTATCTTTATATGCTGAGCATGATACCATATGGTGTGGGATGTCTCCTTGTTCAGTTGGGGTCAACCGTCCCAGCTGTGTCCCCTCCCAACTTCATGTGCACCTCCAGCCTCCTCACTGGTGGAGTGGGATGAGAAGCAGAAAAGGCATTGGCTCTGTGTAAGCACTGTTCAGCAATATTGAAAACATTCCTGAATTATCAACACTGCTTCCAGCACAATCCCAAAACATATCCCCATATTGTCTACTATGAAGAAAATTAACTCTACCTCAGCTAAAACCAGTACAACAGAAACATGAAAACTTACTTTCCTCTGACACAGAGAAATGTACGTTTTCCAGTATCTTAGTATTGCACTGACAGGTCAATTCCCACATCTAGAGTACGTGATGAACACCACACCTGCTCCAAGGACCCTTCCTGTAGCTTCTGTACCACTAAAGATTCCTTTAAGGTGCTATTTGAAGGTTCGAGCAGAAATTGTCATGCATGATCTCAGTGCTGGGCTTTGCACATAAGTGAGCATTGCTAGTATGAGCTGGATTTGATTGCAAATGCCTTCAAGCACTCACTGTTCACAAGACTTGATAGTCCTACTGAATCCTCCTTGTCTAGACTTATGCTTGTGTTAACGACAGCACTCACACAGCGTCAGCGATCCCTCTGGCATTTACTGTCTGGGTCAGAAAGAAACAGTGCTGCCGTGGGGCAATTTTTCCCTTCTGTAGTGATGTCCCATGACATCAGTATTCTGACTCTCTACTAAACTTTTCCAAAGTTTCCACAAATCAATTCCAAAATATTTTTTATGGTGTCCAGCATGAAAAATGTCAAAAATACAGCTACATCCACTGATTTATAATTGAGGGAAAGGCACCCAGGAAAATGTTACTGCTGGATTGGATTCATACCACTAATTCTAGGCACATGCATCAGGTTTTTTTGTCCTGGGTTCTCCAGGAAAAGTGAAGGGACAGGGTCTCCCAGCAATTATTCAGTGTGACACAGGACTGTCATCTGGAGGGATGAAGGCCATGGACCATAACATCCTAACACAGGCACTTTGAGCAAACATTGGAATTCGAGCTGTGACTACCCCTGCAGCTTGGAAGTTGGCCAGATACCACCAGGCTGATTGCTTCAAAACCCCGCCTAGGGACATAGGGTAAAGGCTGATGCCTGCCAGGGAGCTCTTCCGGATGCCAGGGAAAAGGTGTTTGCTGCAGAAAGAAGCCTGTTATTCAGTGCTTGTCAGTCCCTGAAGGAGAACGGATGGCCCAGCATGGCTGCTCAGTAGACCTTCAGCGTCCGTCTCCACATCGGCAGCGACTGGAAGGTACAGAACCATGTGTAGAAGCATTTTCATTTCATAGGGAGCAAAATGAAATGCCTGCTTTCTGACACATCAATTCTTGCAGGATTCGGAAAGGCACTGAGCCGGGTAGTCATAGCTCTGATCTTGGCATGAGACATACACTGGAAGTGGTACGCATTGAGTTAACTTTAAATATTTCTGGTGAAGAGAGATCTGAGCCCGCCATCCAGCTTCCCATTATAACCAGCGAGGTGAGAGAAGCAAAGAGTGTGATTCATCTGCTGTAGACAACTACATTACAAGATGAATTACGCTCTCAGCAAGCCTATTTCTCTCTGCTGTGCACACAAGGAGTCTAGACAAGTTGTTCAGATGGAGATGTCTCATGTGGGAAGAGCTGAACCCAGCGTAGCTACCCAAAAGCATCTTACAATTCTTACAGGGGTGACTTGGAGCCTGCCAGGGAACAGCTCAACCCAGTGATCCCATGGAATTTTTAAAAACCTTTTGCCTCCAAGATCACCCTTCTCTGCTATTGCTAAAATCCACAGCTGGAATTTAAAGGGTTAGTGAAAGGGCAAACATTTCCCAGGATTTCTCATCCAGCTGTTGACTTTGCTCCTTTTAAAGCCGTTTGTGCATAGTCAACATCACACCCTATCCGTGTTGAGTCATAAAGTTCCCCGCTTGCAGCACCAGCAAGGAGAAAGAAATCAAATAAAACACAAAATGCTAGCATCAAACCATGAAAACTGAAACCACCAGAGTTCCCCGCCGTGAGACTCGTCCCACTCATGTTGGTGTGTGGCACCGTCTGCGTTTGGGCAAGCGTGTGCCTGTCCTCGTTGGGGCATCGTGGGCTCTGCACCCATCCAGCCTGCTCACAAAATGCCCCGTTCAGAGGGGCTGGGGAGCAGTCGCAGGGTCAATCCAGTCAGATTATGCTGAGGTAGGTGGTTTTATCCTCCATCAGTCTCTCCCAGGATAGCCCAGAGCATCCATGAACAAAGCACGCAGCCGAAAAGGATCCCTCGCAGTTACATCTCTCGCACTTGCACTGCTTCCAAAGTTTACATTTCCCCTTGGCTGCTATGAATCACATGCATGTTGGGTCTTGCAGCTTCCCTCTCCCTCTTACAGCATAGGAACACGTGTTACCAGCCAGCTCCCAAGCTGTCACGTTTATACCGGCTGGAAGGATAATGCTTGTCACCACCTGGAGGGGATTACAGCTGCAGTCTTTCAGCAGAGCTGAGGAGGAGGGAGGAGAGGCAATGCGAGACTTGCACAGCTATACGGCGTGTTTGGCTGTGCATGGCTGTATCACACGTTTTGCTGTGCATCTCTGTTTGTCTTTTGGGTGTTTGGTTATTTTTTTTTTTTTTTTAATTTACCAGCCTGCCAAATTGCTCCTTGGCATATGTTGGTTTTGTTTGCTTGTCTGTTTTTTAAACAGGAAATATTCAGTGAAAGCTGATGAAGAACATGGTGAAAATGAAAGTGTAAGCCACTGAAATAAAAGAAATGTGCTTTCTAAAGCTCAGGTCTTCGCACATGTGTGCAAGCAGACACTCCTCTCACTAATGGAGAGCATCTCTCTTTTTCCTAGTGGGTCTTTGCTGACCTACC